AATAGTTTTCTTTCATCTGTTCTCTTCAGACGTGTGAAAAACACAAACTAGACGATAATTGTCTCAAAAGCACGTGTTATAATGATGATTATGTTTGTAACAAGTTTAGCTGTTTTTATAAAAGTTAATCTATTTAGCGTGTTGATTGACTTATTTCCAAAATTAGCGAATTTTGCGTTCCTTATAAATATTCGAACACTGCATCAATTCATTATGACTTTAAATGTAAATTAAATAGTGAAAGTATAGAAACGCTTTCGTTGCAATATTGTTTCACAACATCACCACCAAATCAATAAGCGGTCGAAAAATCTCGGGAAATACCCGATAAATAACCCGGGAGAATATCCGGATCAACCACCCTGAAAACAATGTTTTCACTATATTGGTGTATAACTGAGTAAACCTCACTATGTGTTTTTATCACAGACACCCATATTTCCGCTGGTAAACATCCGCTAATATTACTTTGGCATATGGACATGGGGATATCATAGTTTATTTGACATAAGGTATGCACATGTCTTTTGTAAAAATCAGTTTCTGCCTTAATCAAACCCTAATATGTTTATCTCGACATTTCGTTATCTCGACATTTTTTTGACGGTCCCGATGACTTTGAGATAACGAGAGTCGACTGTATAAGACTTTACTATTTAACATCACAAACCTAAAGTAGAAAACCGATTTAGTACCTTATACACCGAGCTCCCCCCGATGATATGTATATTTTCCACAAGGTCCGATAACTCTGTTTCTACCAGAGACAAAGCCTCTGGTAAACTTCTAGCTATATGAACACCAGTTGGTACCTCCCTGAAAAAACAGTTCACATATTTTTATATCAGATAGTGGATTTCTGATGATACTTGTTTATATTCAAAAGTTTGAACATATTTTAGGTTATAGCATTTGGTCCACCTTGCAAGCTTTTCTGGATAACTAGCCACTTATAACATTTAGTTACCAATTTCTCTGTAACGCAGTGACATGTGGTTCAAAGACTCCAAACATTGAAGAACAGATGTCCTGTCAAGAATTGGGGCTGAAAAGTTAGTGTTAACCCCTGGCAAATGACTAACAACTTGTCCATCAGCAGTGATTATAAGGCAAATGACCATTAGACACATATACAAGATAAACTGTCATAGAGAAATTGCATTTCACAACCAGACTCGATACACGCAGTAGCCTCCGTATCACAAATCGGTTGCTCGAAAATATCAGTTATTCTATTTTCGCATAGATGAAAGTAACTACCCATTTCCTGCTGAATTACTTAAATGGACAAGTCCAAAATTCAACTTGTGGAACTGTTTTTCCTTAATCATTAATGTTTGGAAGATGGATGGTGAACAGTCAAATTCATCGTCGGATACCCACGATTGATAAACATGTCACATAACATTCAGCTGATGAATGATAATGGTTTGGCCGTGGGTATCCGACGATGAGTCAAATTTTGACTTTTCTTCATCATACTTTCAACTTTTCATCACCGTACATGTAGTTTTGACTTTTCACCATCATACTTTCAAGATCTATATGTTATAGACTATGCTCATGGTGTTATGTATTTTTTTTTTTTTTTGATGTCACTGATACAATTAACATAAAGAAAGTTTTGTTTTGCTTTTTATTTCTCTGACTAAAAATTGAACTTAAAAGAGTTCAAGCTAGCCATAAAATATGAAAAGAAGTGACTTTTCTATTTATACAAAATGGAAAAATATTTTCACAAGATAAGAAAAAAAAAGATTTGAGTGAATTGATATTCAAAAATCGTGCATGGATATTGTACTGTATGCGATATTGTTTAGAATGGTAAATATCGATGACACATCGATATTGCAATATTCAATGACAGCCCTAAGCAATATTAGATTTTACTTACCTAATCTTAATATGATTTTACTGTTAGTTTATTTTGAGGCAGTGGATTTTACCTTATGCTATGAATAGTACTTACTTTAGTTCTCGACTAAGCACTATGTTTACACGTCCCTTCAAAGGTCGAAATTTTTCAGGTATAGAAAACCATGTTTTTCTCCCCATTATGACAGCATTTTGTTTATCTGAAAAAATTAAATAGTATAAAGCTTTAGATTTGAGATCTTTGGATGGCAAAAATATTGTTTACCGTAATAATTCTATTTAGCGCCCGGGCTTTTATTAGAATCATAGACTATTCGAAAGTTGGGGATGGGCGTTAATTGGAGACGCATCTTCATAAGACAGACTAATTTTCTAAGCAAGGCTTTTATAAATCCACTCGCCTCATAACTATAAGAAGAAATCGAATCCGAAGATAGAACGGATGTTGATTTATAATTGCAGACAACGCTAAAGTCGATTTCGGTATCGTAACATACCGGCTAAAGTCTGTTCTTTTCCGCACTTTAATACCGTGCATGTAGAGTCCGGTATCCGAGCACGGGAATAAAAAATAAGCCTCACGCATTTTTACTGCAAAAATATTATGATTTTTCCCAACGAAATATTCATGTTAGGTTACCAATTAACTCTGTAATCTGGGATGTTCTATACAATTCAAAAAGTCAGTGAAATATTTCGTGTCCGATCATTATGCATTTTTTACCCGCCAATATAATTGTGCACAATTTTCATACCTTTTTCCCCGCAAAAACATTATTGATTATAACAGATAAGAATAAATCACTGAGATTTTTAATGTCACAAAAAATAAAACACATGTATACATGTAAGCATAATCAAATGTATTATTTTAATGATCAGGATTTCGATCTCAATAAGTAAATCTAGCGATCTGCATTCAGTCCTTTTGAAAACGTACGCCGTTACTCAACTATTTCGGCACAGAATTCCTTGAATAATTTTGTAAGAGTCTGGCATAATCACTCCGGGTACATAATGTCCAACAACAGAATTTAATTTTTTTTACAATACATGTATAAGCTTAAATGTCAATGCTCTTCATCTGTCATGTTTGAATCACTCCCATCACTGTCGTACCGGACGTTGTCATAAACGGCTTCTGCACTCGCTACATCATTCTGGTCAAAACCTAGAAAGTGATGCAAAGGAATCAATACACATCTACTTGTGAAATGAAGACAATATTCTTTTTTATTTTAGTCTGGATACCGGGAAAGGAGCAGAATTTCCATGTTGTGACAATGTTAAACATTTATCATGAAAGATTTATGGCAAGCCTTATAACAGTTAAATGCATAACTCTCAAGGGTCTTAGCTTACCAAAATTGTAACAGACAGCACATACTTATTATACGTTCACCAGTCTAATTTATTTACTCTTTGAGCGCTAAGAAAATTGTCGTCTGCTAAAAATGTCGTCTGCTAAATGAAAAGTTTTAACCTATATTCGCAGCATGCCGAAAAGAAATGTGTCTGAATATCATACAACTTGGAACCTGACCAGACGCCGAGTTACTCGGTGTCCAGTCTGGTTCCAAACTGTTTACAAAGGCCTTTCAAATTTGCCGCCAACGTGCATAGAGTAAAGAATGTTTCACAAACCTGGAAACTCAAGTTCTGCGTCGCTGTCGCTGTCACTACTGTCAGAGTTCCACAGAGAATCGTCCTCGGTGCCATCTAATGCATTTGAAATGCCTACTTTCTTAAAGCTCTTGACAATAAGAGCTTCTGACAATCTGTCCCAGGATTCTTTGACCCACTGAAGAAGAACTTTGTTAGTTGGCTTCCTCATTTTGCCTCCGGCTGTAAAGGTGTGATCTCCATTTACCATCCAGTTGTCCCACTTGTCTTGAATAAAGGCCTTAAAAGGTTTATTCCAGCTAACATCTGCAGGTTGTAAGATGCCCGTGCAACCACCAGGGATCACGACCATGTCGGAGTTGGCGCCAAAATCACTACGCGGGATACCATTGACTTTACGTCATCAGTTCTATGTGCCCGAAAAAGCGTCCCAAACTAGCATCTTTCGTGTGTCCTCCCGTCGCCAAACCTGAAGCACCCACCATTTTATAATATTTTCATTTACCCAACCATTATCGGACATTCTAACGAGCACACCCGGTGGTACGTCGGAAGCAGGGGGGTCTCTTTTTCCTTTAAGAATGACCACTGGCGGTAATTTCCTGCCGTCAGCCATAGCAGCGAGCATAACCGTCACTTTCTCTTTTTCGTGCCCTGTTGTGCGTATGATGACGGATTTCTCACCCTTATGGTGAAGAGTGGAATTTCCAGGCATGTCAAAGTACACCGCTGTTTCGTCCATGTTTCCAATGCATTCCATTGGATAGCTCCGCAATTTTCTCATTCGAATAACGAATTTGTGAAATGAGACTATCTTGTCTTCAACATGTTCTGGCATTCGTTGAGCTACGGTCGTCTTTTCACGCATTGAAACGGAATGGCGCTTCATCCACTTTTGTAGCCAACCACGGCTGCCCTTAAATGTTAGATCCCCACTCACAATGAACCGCCGCTGCGCTTCCAGGATCAGCTGTTTGCCGGTTATTCGTATGCCACTCGATCTTCGTTCACTAAACCATTCAAAAATATCCCTGTCTAACTGTTCATTTTTCACTTTTCGTCCAGCGCCCGGGAGACGTTTCACAGACATTAAGCTTTCTCCGAATCGTCCAGCATCGAACTGTTTAATCCATTCTCTTATTCTTTTTCGATCAATGGCGAATTTTCTACTTGTTTCCGAAATAGTGTGGTCTTTTGCATATTTAGCGACATTTATTTTAAATTTCACAGTATATGACTCGTGTTTCCCCATGATGTTAAAAAAGTAAGAATAGTTCTAACCGATTTTACTGACACAAGCATATATGTTCTTTAAGGGATTGGTGCGGGATATAAAAAGACAATCGACTATTGTTCAAAATAATTTTAATCAGAACTAATCTCCCATGTTGGGCCCCAATACATTGAACCACGCGGGTTGACCTTGCTGACGTAATGAAATAGGCGCGTGAGTTTTGGCATCTCGGAATGGTTATTTTTATACATGTATATATCTTATACACAAAACACATTGAATTATGGCAACACCTATGCTTGTGTCTATAAAATCTGTTATTAAGGGATATCACGTTTACAAATATACATGCCCAATCGGAACTATACTTCAGTGTAATTTGGAACCAGAAAATGAACATAGTGATAGCGCAATTATCGTAAAAAATAATGGATCTGTTGTTGGACATATACCGGAGGGATTATGCCAGCCTCTTACAAAATTATTCAAAGATGGACTTATTATAGAAATCAGCGCTGAAATACTTGGAGAACCGCGTTCGTCATCAAAAGGAACTTTTGTAAAAGGTGGTGGCATTGAAATACCGTGTACATATAAACTTTACGGAAAAAAAGAGAAGAAAAGGGAAGTTCGTTCCTACGTGAAAACGGAAATAAGGAAACTTGAATTGTAAAGGTAAGCTCAATTGTACTCAAAGCGGGGGATGGGCGTTTAAAAGGGGCAGTTAATTTTTCAACTTTGGGCTGAAAAATGGCCGTTTTTTGTCCAAAATATGGGGGATGGGCGTCTATTAGAGGATGGGCGCTAAATAGAATTATTACGGTATATATCATGGTTTAAGGGTTAAGCAGCTGCCTTCAGATTCATGCTAATTTTTCATAAAAATTTCTGAAATGTATTTAAAAGTAAAATATTGTGAAGTGAACAAAGAAAGTAATTTACAAAATGCAAATGGCACTTAAAATCCATGTAAATTACCAAAAAAAAAAAAGCAAAAAACAATTTAAATGTACAAAAGTAGTCTTTACTGCATTAGTCACCCAGTACAAATATGGTGCTAAATACTGCAAAATCAGTCATTAATTACTTATAATTTCTTAAGTATAAATTGAATATTCAACCCTTTACTTTTCTTAAAATATTAGTACATTTTTCTCAAGTTTGATTTTCCTGAAATATTTTGGTTCATCTGTAGACATGAAGCTTTAAAATTTTATTGTGATCACATGGAATTTCCATAGGCGACTTCTATGTATTTCTAATGTGTATTTTACACAAGTTCAAA